TTAGTGCCTTCCCTTATTGCCCAGTTCTGCATGGAAAAAGTGGTACCTTTCCACTGTTTTCATTCTTTTTGAGGTCGCAACAGACATTGGAGTAATGTATTATTGAAGCAAAAATGTACTGTATGTACTGTTTGCTCACAGAATCCCTCTTCTTTCCCCCTTTCTCCAATTAAATATAGAAATATAGCTTCATTTTCACAGACACCTTTTTAGCTGCCACTGCAATGTCCACAGAAAGAATAAATTCCTCTTTCCAGACTTTCCATGCATGATCTAAGTTCTAAGCACGAGGACGCAATATTAATATCTGGTGGCTCTGTTCCCTCCATTTCGCCCCTTTTCTCTCTGTCTGTCCTCACAGATTGTTATTCTTCTTCTGCCTGGCCTTCTGTCATCACTGCAATCATGATTCAGAGCTGGTGGACGGCACCCCACAGATTTGCAGAGTCTGCCTTCCAAACAAACTTTCACATTTTATCCAGGCAAAGCCTTTCCACTGAGTTCACTCAAGCAGCGGCTTCCTCGAGCCAGAAGCAGTGGGATTTCCCTTGGCTGCTTGCTGGTTCCTCACAAGAAACACAATCCACCCAGGACAAATCCAACAGTTCACTGGGGGTAGATTTCTTGAAGGTCATTCCCAAGTGGTGTGATCTATCAGTTTGGAATTCAAGCAGGATGCATGAAACTTATTCCGTGATTTCTGGCAATACAGGGAAACAGAAGTATGTGTCCTTGCAAAGTGAAAGAAAGCAATATCTTAAGACCAAAGTGGCCCAATTTCTGTGTCTTCTAGAAGATACAGAATATGACAGCAGTTCAGCCATGGAATGCCAAAGGGATCTGTTAAAGAAAACAGAAAGAAAATGTGGTGGACTAATTCAGGCATGTGGCCACAGGAAGGCTAACAGGAGCACTTCCACCTCCCTACCAATATGATGTTTTCTTTCAGTCCTCATATCCAATAACGTAGAGGATATTTTTATCCAGGAGAGGCGGCAGGGCAAAGCTAATTGATCACATGGAATAATGATAGCAAATAAAGAGATGACAGTGCAATGAACTTGAATGTCTCACTTTGCAAAATCAGAGCAACCCAGGACCTGACATTGCTGAACAAACAAGGAAGAAAAGGTAATGTCTGTGAATTGCTGAATCAAAAGATAGCAACCATCATGTCGCTCATGTGCCGGTTCTTATGACTGGTCTGTGGATTGTTTTCACCCACAGAGAGCTGGCTGCCATTGTGAATTTGCAGGCCCTGCCCGGGGCTTGCCATGCCTTTTGAATCTAGATGACACTGTTTATTGAAAGAACCCTTACATAACCCTAGAACAGACCATGGGTTATGTCGGAGTGATTTAACCCTCAAATAGCCTCTGCTGCCCCAATTCAGCTGTCATAACAAGCCATGGCAGGGCTTGCATCCTCGCAATGGCAGATGAAAGTGCTGTTGCAGCGCATGGATGAACCATTCCATGTTGGGCTGTTGTGTTGTGTGAACAAGATCATGGTTCTGATCATGGTTCCTAGTGCAAATGATCGTTATGCATCATTCAGCTTATTAAAGGTTTATCACAGAGAGCCATGTGTCTGAGATAGGATGGTGGAGCCAAAAGCAGTGATAGCTGGCTGGCCCAGGGTCTCTCTGTAAGGCCAGGTCTTCTTGCAGACGCGAGGTTAGTCCCTGTAGTTCAGAGGAGCGTGCGGCATGCCACCAGTCATTTGCTTGTGCAAAGCGATGCTGCCAGCTTCCAGGTTGGCAGCTCAGTGGCAGAGCGCTTGCTCTGCTTGCAGTAGGCCTCCGGTTTAATTCCCAGCATCCTACGGCAGAATCCTGTCTGAAAGGCTGGTAAGTCCCTGCCAGTCAATGCCAGCATTACAGGGCAGCTTCCTATGTTCCTAATTCAAAGTATGTCCGTCTGTCCTCTCCCCTCCCCTGCAGCCCTTCCACATCTGCTCTGGAGGGAGGCACAGAGATGGGGACTCCTCCGACGCTGGAGGAAAGAATTTTCCTCTGTGGGTACCTGTCTTCATCAGGGGCAGAGAGATGCATGACTTGGCTGCTATCAACCTGCACCTCTGTTGCTATCTCGGATCTGATATCCCCCGCTTACTCCTTGCCTTCCAACTATGACCTTTTCTTCATGAGACCATTTACCCACAGTATCTCTTTCCACTTTTGTTAAGAATTGACGATGCAGCTCTAAATGAAGGACTTTTCCTGCTTAATCATGGCATCAATTCTAGGCAGCGTAGCAGAATAACCTAATCACAGAAGTGGTGAGATGTGTTTTGGTTTGCTTTTGGAAACACTACAGAATTTTCCCCGCTCAAAAAACCAAACAACCCACGCTGGGGAAGTGGTTTTTAAAAACAGAAGTGAAACTGGAGGGTCACACAATTGTCTTAAGGACCTGCAAATGCAGAATGACAGGTGTGCCAGAACTGCTTTGTGCAAAGAAGGGGAGCAGCGCCAGCACGAGGGAATCCTGCTGTGATCTCCAACCGCAGCTGAGACTAACAGCAGGTATTCTCCAGGGACCAAGGGGACCAAGCCCTGCCATTTGGAAAAGGCGGGGAGGCTCCATGGGTCACCTGTGGAACCTCTGCAGGTTGAAGGATCCACCTCCCTGTTCCAGATATGCATCAGACATAATTGTTGCAGGACAACTGCTAATGTATATGGATAAAGAACTATAATTCTACAAATTGCAACTCAAATGCATTTCTTCCACAGCTAGGACCTTTGCCTGCTGAAACTCTGTAGGGGAAATGTTCCATTCAGCCAGCATTTATTGAACCCCTTTCTCTTCTTCCACATCATTTACAGGTTCCTTGAATAAATAGGACATGAACAATTCATTATTTACTGTCTTATATTCAATTTATACTTTTTTAGGGTCAAGATTCACTGCGGTTTCTTTTCTGTCAAAGGGGTGGTCATGAAAGCTAAATCACAGTGATGCGAAGAGCCCAGAAATTTGAAATTCAAAGAGGTGACATGAAATGCTTGCCTCAGAATGTGGAGAGAAACTCATTTGGTTAGTATTTTAATTCAAACCTATGCAATTTGCACTTTCTGAATCAGTAAGTGAACTAAAATGCAGCTATCCTTCGGCATTCCTCTTCTTTAAACTCTGTGATGTAATTATTCAAACAGGATAGGTTAAGGAAAAGTGTGCACAAAAATGGTATATATTAGAGAAAATAACATACAAAAATGCATTATACTGGAGAGACTTTCTTGCAAAAACGCCTATTTTACAGGAAATGAATGCAAAAATATGTACATGCTTTCATGAAGATTTTAAAAGAAATGTGCAGACTGATGCAGGACTGAAAAAGGGTTTGATTTGGAGATGGTGAAACTGATTGAAAATAAAATTGAAACATTTGTCCCTCCCTCTCTGCTTTGTTGTGGATAATGGACCCTTATCTGAGAAGACTACCATCTCGGATAACACAAGTGGTCTCTAGGCCCCAGTAATTTCATAACCAGTGAACCACCCAGAGCCTATGGGAATGGGGTGGTATAGAAATATTAAGATAAATTTAACTGTGTGTTTAAGAACACTGCTTTAAGAACAATTGCAGTAAGTTACAGAGCTTAGGAATCAGCTGTGCTTTCTGAATTCAGCTGAGAAACATTGACCCTTTGTAGCTTTGAACCAGTGTAAACGTAAAACAGGACTAATTAGCCAAACACTATGTGAATGTACCTTAGTGTTTAGTGTTGCATGACTAGAGAGACGCATGTTCAGGGTCTCACCGAGACATGGGGCTCACTGCGTGGCTTTGCACCAATCACAAACTGGCGGCCGAACCCACCGCACCGAAGTGTGGGTGCCACACTGGCTGGGATGGAGGGGACCCTTCTTGTCCTCCACTTCCGGAGCCGTCCCGGAATTGGAGGGGATCCATCTTGTCCTTCATTTCAGGCAGGGAATTGCCACGAGTTGACCTCGACACATCCCAAGGCTAAGCCAGGCTGCAGGACCATTGAGGTCAGAGTCGTTTTCATTTCAGTGATGGCGGCTGCCTTTGCCTGAGATCTCTGGCTATGCCTGTAAGGAGCAGAACTGTGAGTACTACTGGGAGCTCCTGAGAAGCGGTTTGTGGATTCTGCGTTGCAGAAGCAGATGTTGCTTAAATGCATCCATCGCCTTTGTGCTGCACCACATGCCCAGCAGGCCCACAGGGCTGGAAAAAGAGCGCCTGCTGCTGAATGCAAGGACAATTGCGGGTGAGCAGGAACAGCACAATGCCCATCCATGTGGTGCAACCAACAGTCCAAACACAATGGTGAAGGGGACAATGACACATTTAATGGCAATGCACATATTCCTGTGCTCATGGTAACACTGAGCTGTAGAGTTTCTAAGCTTAAGTGAAGGACAGGCAACCTCTCTTGCAGGAGTATCTCAGCCCTGACCTCGCAGCAAAGCAGGGGGGTGGGGTGCCAACTGGCCAGTCAGGACACGCTCTGCAGCACGGCTGGTGACGGGCCTCCAAGGTCAATCCTTCTTCTGGTTTAACACAGAATTTCCTCAGCCAAGGTTGGCCTCCATGAGGCAAATCTACTCAAAGGGGCTGCTGAGGGGCTCACAACCCAACAGGGCTGCATGCCAATTTAGGAATCAGGGTATCAGTACCAGGCGAGTGGAAAAGGCAGGCACCATTCTGAGTATCTCCAGAAAGGAGAGACACAAAGAGGTGCTTCAGTTGTACGAAGCGCAGTGATCTGGCATCAAGCAGCCATATGGGGACCCCAGTTAATCAATCGTGCTTCCATCCGTCCATCCTACTTGGGTTACCGGATCACTAGCAGCCCGTTTGTTCTCAGAGGTCACTGTGTGGTGTCCACCAGCAGTTCCTTTGGCAGCTCCCAGGAATTCCACACGGGCCCTTAAAGGTACCACCACCACCATTTATTTGATCACTCTGTTACCCAGCTCTAGTCAGAGTCCCACAATGCCCACAAAAACAGGCACACATTCCCATTTAACAACTATTTGATTTATTTAACAATACAAATTTCTTTCTACCGCATGGTGTAAGCAGAGAAAAGTTGAGAAACAAAATTAAGTTTTTTTCCTTTTAAGTTTAAATGTATACACAAAAAACCCCCAAGCTCTTACTTCAGTAAATATAAAATTTACAGACAAAAAAACTACATTAAAAAGAACAAGGTTGTGACAAACCAATGACAAGAAGGAAATTCAGAATCCATAATCAAATGTTTAGTAAAGGAAACAGGGCCAATCTTGAGAAAGGTTCTGAAATCTGAGGTGCAAGAGGAAATTTTAGTACATTAAAAACAAGAATAAGGTTGTAATTATACTCTATATTTTGTGATATAAATATTTTAAAGCTTTGCAGGCCACATATGTAATATGTGAAATATACATTTTGCCCTTTATTGTAAATTTGCAGGAGTGTTGTACATGCAACGTATGGATGACCTTTATCAGCACATGGGAACAGCGACATCTTCGGAGTCCCTCCCCATTTGCTAGTCACTTCGAAGTTGTTGTTCCTTAATGCTCATAAATTATCGGGTGAATTTACAAAGCCTGCATGCCGTGTAAACGCCATTCCTTTTAGTGGGAGCCACTAAAATTCATGAAGGGTGCCTGGCTCAAGCGTGCTTCAGACCCCCCATCATGACCCCCGTGCTCTTCACACAACTAGGTGCATGGACGGTTCTCATGAGGTGCCGAAGCTCCTTGCGGCCCAGACTGCATGTGGGGCTCCTATGACCGAGTGATTCGACATGCAAAAGCTCCCCCACAACACACAAGCTCCCCGTACACAGAAAACTGGCATGTCAGGGACAGGGCTAGGCTAGAAGGCTTCTCTCTGACCTAGTTTTCAATGCAGAAGGCACTGATTTGAAAAAAAGAAGCTTTCCGGTCATGAGAGCCACTCTGCAGTCTGGGGCTGTACAGTCCAGCTTCGCCCACTGCAATAAGAAACGAGGGATGGGGTCAGTTCTTCGCAACTCCCCGTGGACAACTACAGTATTTACAGACCTTATGCCACACGGGCTTTTACTTCAGGGTTTGAAACAGAACCCAAGCTGCCAACAAGGCCCTCTCACAGGAGGAGTGAAAATGGCTTTTAGTCGAGAGATCCCGGTGTCACCTGTTCAGCCACTTCTCAGAATATGCAGGCATAAACGTCAAGGAACATCACTCTGGAAGTCACATCTTGAGACCACAAATCTTATAGCAGCCTTCCCCGACCTTGTGTTCTCCACTGTTTTGGATCACAATTCCCATCATTCCTGACTAGCCATGTTGCCCTGGGGCTGATAGGAGTTGCAGCATAAAACACCTAGAGGACAAGAACTAGGGAAGGCTGCCTTACATTTGGAACAATGATGCCTCCTGATGTCTTCATAGTGAAGTACTCAAGCTAGCCAAAAATACTGAAATTCAGCGATCGAGAAGTCCAGCACAGAACTCTTTGACAAAGGTGCTCTAACATTTCCAAAAAGACACATCAGATTTGGTTGGGGTAGGGCCCAAGAGACTCAGCAGATCAGTCATCTGAAATCATTTTTCCCTGTCTGAGCTTTTTTGCTGGCTTTATTACAAAGGAAAACAGAATGGAAGAGTAAGTAATTGCTCCAGATCAAATATCTAGAATGCATGCCTGTGTCTTGGGCCCGAACTCATACATATTCCTGCTGGGTCTATGCCCACTGGTAATGCATGGATCCTTTGATTACAAGCTCATTCCCAGGGAATACTGACACGAAAGCTCAGCTTGTAATCCAAGCTACCCACACAATCAAACCATCCATATACGGCATTGTAGTGTTTGTGATGGTACAGCCAACGAGGGCAGGGCAGGAGCACGTTGGGGCTGAAATCCCCAGCTGGAGTAGCGGAAGATTCAACCTTCCACACAGAGAAAGGGTTCCATCTACCAGGGAATTATTCTGTGCAATGTCCACAGAAGGAGGGACAAGAGTGTTGCGTCTGGGTCGCCCCATTCATTTCACGGCAGCTTATGCAGGGGATCTTCTGAATGGATTCTGCTCAGAATTACACATTATTTAAACCTATGTTCCACTTACAAAAGTGCATTTTGCAGTTTCAGATGAATGTTACAGTTCCAGATCAATAATATGCTACTTATTCCATTTTGCGAAAAGCTGGTAAACAGAGCATGCAGTTTTGCTGCTTCGGAAGACAGTTTAACATGATTAAATAGGCTGGAACTTTAAACTGAAATCTAAAGCACTGAACTCTCTGTGATCTGGTACATGTTAAGAAAATATTGGCAAGATCTGCAGCAATGTTGATGGAAAGCAAACCTAGCCCCTCAGGCTTTTTAAGACCTGTGCATTTATCTTGCAAAAGCGAGTTCATTTATGGAAAATTAGAGCTGGGAGCGGGGATGACCATGGAAAACCAAATAGGAAATCATATGATTAGCTGGGCTGCTCATTCACACTGGATGTGTGAAGAAATAGCAAGACTTGTTTGCTACACTCATTGCTCAAGTCAACACTGGGTGAATGCAGTAAGACTTAACATACAGTAGAACTCAGGGAGCCACTTGGAAAATGGGCTGAGGGTTACTTTTCTGTTCAAGAGCGAGAAGAGTCTTACCATTCACTTTCTAACTTCACTGAATTCCTGATTGGGAGCAGAAGTGTGCTACATCATCTGATACTTCTGCCCAGCCAATACGACAAAAGTGGGCAACCCGGAGAGTTCCGAGGGCCATGTTTGCCCACTGAATCCCTCCATGGGTGCTGGAAAATAATTTCAAAACATGTTTTGGTTTAAATATAGCCTGCAATGGCTACAGAGTGCTCAAAGTGTCTAAATTAGAATGTTTGCGAAATAACTGTGGCCCTTTTAGTTGGCTAAAATGGCTATAGAGCACCAAAAGAGTCAAGCTAATTTGATCCTCTTGGCACTATATAAGCACAAACCAATGCCTTTTTTCAATTAATAATTTGGCGGGGAGGGCCTCAGAGGACACAGGCGGCCTCAAGAGGCCTGTGGCCATGCGTTGCCCATTTAAGTCATTTATCGGGTTGTAGCATGCACACTTGGCCTCTGGTCATCTGCACCATTCACATGTTGTGCCAAACTCATTTGTGCTGGAACAGTGAAAGATTAAACAGTAAGTATTAAGTTCCATTCACCCTTTAAGGAAAGCTCAGCACCAAATGAGGCTTGACACTTGTAGCCACATGGGTGTTTTTAAAAATAGGACATATTTGGTGCAGGAGAGGAGCTTTTCACTGGGAGCACAAGGGGAAGTGGTTCAGTTCCTTCTTTCCTTGCTGTGGTCCCAACAAAAATCCCCCCCCCCCACCGGCAAAGATATTATTTGCTGTGACTGGAGTGAGATTCCACTGGGGCAAATGAGAGCTTTCCTCCTGGGGCTATCAGGAGCTGGCGGGGGGATTTTAAATGGGACAGGTGGCAGGAGGATACGGTTAAGCTGACAGTCCTGATCTGCCTGCTAGCTTGCTGTTGACGATTGCATTTATTTAAAATATTTATATCCCTGAACTGTGCCACAGAATAAGCTTCCAGTCCAGGGCAGCTGCCGATAAGTAGATTCACAGTAGATTCATTTTTAAAGGGTTGTGGCTCTGGGAGTGGGAGGAGGATGGAAACGGTCCACCTCCCAGGCCTCAGAGGTCCCTGCTTCAGCTCAGACCCCGAAGCACACTGCTGCAGCCACAAGGGGTAGGTTCGGAGCCACACGAAGCCGGGCCTGCTCAGCCTTAAGGGTAACCGAGATGGTCTTGTGCTTGGTCCGTCCTTCCTTCTGCTCACTGTCCACAGGGGACCTCATAGAAGCAGCCCTGCCTTCCAGTCCATCACAGTGTGCTGCCATTTTAATTTCAAATATGAAAACAAAGAAGCTCTTCCTTGGGGAACATATTTATTGTGTTTGAGATGATACACTGGATGCTCTCTGAGCTACAAGGTGGGTGTCGATGGGAGGGGTGGGGGACAAAGGAGTCCCTTTCATTACAAACCGACAAAGGTAAAAGTTTAAAACAGTTTTCACAACAGCATGTACCACACATCGGAAATAGATCTGGGCTTAATACAAATGACGTAATTCCTAGTCATCTACAGCTACCTTTAATAACTTCATACAGATAATGGATTAGGCTAAAATGCACTATAATATTTGGTTGACTTCAGGAACGGTATCCTTAGTTACATCACAAAATACATTTTGATATCCCAAAGAAGCAAGACTTGCAAGTAGGCATTTTAAACATAACTAATCTACAGCTACAAAGTTCTACTCCTGATAGCATTTACCTTTTGGGGGGCAGAAGGGGGGGTGGGGGGCCAGGAGGGAGGGGAGGCAGAATCCCAATCTTCAAAAGGATAAAAGCAGAGAGTAGAATCAATATAACATATACACAGAAGTCCGTATTGTAAAGGCTATAAAGATTGGTTGCACACTGCAAGGCCGCATCCCTGCACCTTCACACTGCACAAAGTAGTCACCGTGGCTTATGTTGCGTATCTCTTGGTCCACTGCCGGGCTATCCTGTCATGTTCCGCTCTGTTGGTCAGGTACTGAGTGGCTATGCTTCCCACCAGAGGATCAGCTGCGGGAGTCGGGCAGGGGCATGGGAGGAGAGGAGAAGGTGCATTAGGAGCCGTTCTCACAACCGGCCACGCGCGGTTCGCTTGGCACACACCCTTCCTGGCACCCAGTCCCACTGCGAGTCCGAAGCATGCACACAGCAAAGGCAAGTCATGGCAGGTTGGGGGTGATGGGAGCAGTAGTCCAACAGACCTGGAGGGTGCCACGCAGGGAAAAACTGGCCTGCACAAAGCACCAGGTGAAGAGGCTTTCCGTGGACTGTACCATTTCAAACTGCAGGGGAGGATGGGGGAGGGGAGAGGACTTGGTACGTGCATCGGACGGCTGTAGCGAGTGTTGGTGGGCAACGTGTATTTTCAGGGGTCCGGGAGTGATTATATTGGTTGCAGCAGTGGATGCTAGGTTGGACTGGAGCCAGAAAAATGCCAGTGGAAGGGGTAGGGAAAGCTACCTCTGCTGAGTGAAGGTCCTCCTCACAGAAAGGACGTCAGGTGCTGGCCAACCCCTATGCCTCGCTCCACCCCACAGCCTGTTCTGTTCGGGACCCTTGGCAAAGAATTCCCGGGCAGGAGGTCTGGCAGGGTGGGGCCAGGGTGGGAAAATGACTTTCCGTCCACTCACATGCACTGGTGGTTCTCCGGCACTAACCCTTTTGCAAAGGGTTTGAAAAGAAGATTCAGGAAGGGACTTTTGGAGGAGAAAAAAGCAGGGAACAGACCTTCCCAGGCATTCAGCTCTACCTGCTGCAGAACCCATAAACATGTTTCCGAAACATCTGAAATCCTGGGGGTAAAGGAGGGGCTTGAGGAGGAGGGTCAATCTGGAGAGGAGACAAGGCAAGTGAAGCAAGGGCTAAATACCCCTCCTCCTTCTGCCATCCAGATCTCCTTAAGAAAACGCCAACATCAGACCTTGATTGCACACACATGCAAGAACGCACAGCTCCCAGAAGCACAGGTGAGCACAGATTCGGGAGGAGGACTCTCCACTAGGCTATTGCATCCTGGGTGCAATCTGGGGGATGCTGCGGGCAGGGGAGAATTCAAATATGTGACTCCTCCACAGCATGAAATCGTACGATCCCAGGCCAGGTTTACCACATCAGCCTCTCCCGCAGACCTGGCGCCCCCCAGATGTGTTGGGACTGCGACTCCCATACTTCACAGCCAGCATGGCCGCTGCAAAGCACACACAGTAAAAGGAACACAGAGGCTTTTCACCTGTTCAGCATCTTCTTATTTTGAAATCGTAAATATTGGTTTTAAAGGCTTGCAGACAGCTAGGCCCAGATGTTAGAGAATTCTCCTGGAGCTATAATGATGCAGAAATCAACTGGGGAGCCGTGCCATTATGCTCTTGGCAGAGCTGACTCTGTCCTGTTTCACTGTCTGGTAATTACAGCGGTAGCCATAATCCTACTAATACAACAATAGCCCTTCTCCAACACCGTAGGTTTATGTTTCAAGGCATCACTTGCTCTGTGTTTCCTCTTATCATGTCTATCACAACCTTCCGCTCACGCAATGGGTCTTTGCTACACCCCCGATGGCAGTCGATTGCTCCCTTGCGGAGCTTCCCTGGAGGGAATCAGGAAAAGGGTCTTGATGGGTGGCAGCTTGCACAACCAAGCGATGGATCTGGGCTAGTCGTGTTTAGGAGCCTTTCTGGTATCCTCCTCCATGCCTTTCTTCACCTAAGTGAGAGCTGTGGAAACCAGTAACTGGACTGCAATGTGCAGAAATGGCACAGGGGACAATCCAAGAGGGAATGCACTATTTGAGGGTGTAGATACAGGGATGGGAGTGTCTCCCTAAGCACAGAAAGTTAACACAGCAGAAAGAAAATGTTGCAGTTTCTGGTTTCCGGACAGAAGCTCTGACATGCATTCTGCTATGCAGCTCAATGCAGGGTGTGGATCAATGGCAAAAAGCTGTTCCCGGGCAGTGCCGCAAAACAAGAGTTTTAGCTCATCCGGGCCTGAGATCTCACAAGCGTTGTTTTTAGACACAGCTGACATATAATAGTTCTGAACGATTTTTGGTGGCTAAGTGTGCAATCCTATGCAAGCTCAGACAGAAAAAAAGGCCCTGCGATTCTCAGCTGCCCCAGGGAGCATGGATTGTACCCTAAGTGTGGAACCTATTTCAGCTCTACCGGCTGCAGAATTAATTGGCAATGCTTGCTTTTGTTGGTAATAATAACGGCAATGATAATGATGATGATAATAGCAGCAGCCTTACCAGGATTGCAGTCTGTCAAGAGGGAACAAATAGACAGCAAAACCTTTGAAATAGTCAAAGCAGGGCTCCAGTTGTCTTTCAGAATATCCAGACAGATGACTCCCTGACTGTTGATGTTGCAGTGGTAGATCCTAGTACGGAAGGTAACCTAAAGGTAGGAGAGCAAAAGATTGGGGAGAAAAAATCATGGCATGCTCTTCGTCCGTGGCTTGTTACCAGTCCTTTGAAACTTGCCTGGAATTATTCACCCTCAGTGGGAGAATTTTTCTATAGAAACCTTTCAATTTTTTGTTGCTCATTCTGTAAGACTCATCTAAAAAGTGATCCCCCCACCCACTTAGCATGCAGCTGTCTTATTCATGTCTGCCGTGTACATCTCAACGTTAAAAGCTTTATTGTGGCTTTTTCTGGCAAGCCTACAGCATTTTTAAATCCAGTGTTAACAGGAGGAGGAGGAGGAGGAGGAGGAGGAGGAGGAGGAGGAGGAGCAGCAGCAGCAGCAGCAGCAGCAGCAGCAGCAGCAGCAGCAGCAGCAAACAGCCAACAGCAAAGGAATGTTTTACACTATTCTGCATTTGGGAGTTCTGTGCACGAGTGCTTAAATAAAGGCACTCAGACACACCTGGGGCACAAAGCCATGTGTGTTTAGACATGCTGGCTGGGGAATGCTGGGAGTTGCAGATCTCTTTTCTCTTTTTTGGCCCAAGCATGCACAGCGCTGTGCTTTCAACATGTGCAGAAGTAGCTCTCGCTATGAGCCTTCTATCTAATTGATGCAGGATGGGGGACGGGGTTCGATCAGCAAGGGCTTCAGAGGCCCAGGCTCTCTGCACAACCCCAGAGGGCTGCACCTGGTCCCCAGGCCTAAGATTTCCAACTCCTAGTAGGGATTTGTTCCATGTTACATTTTGAGGCATACGAGGCTGCAAGCCAACTCCAGGGTATGTACAGTATGTTAACATTTTCAGCACTCTTTTGTTGATGGAATGTGGGCAACTGCTCCACTCCATGTCACTTGAATCCCCCCACCCCTGCCAACATTCCTCTTGAATCAGGACTGGGCAACTGCATCCCACTGGATACTCTGGCTTACAGTGCCCATCCTCCCTTGCCTTCAGCTATATGGGGTGTGTGTGCGGGGGGGGGGGGGGGGAACAGCAGAGACTGCACTGGATGCACACAGCTTCTACGTTCAGAGGCTTGTGTGCATCAAGCGTGGAGGACTTGGATTGTGCCCGTAGTTATTTACTTGCTCTGCATATGTATGTTCGGAAAGGCGCACTGAGGAGAAACAGTGACCTGGTTTGCACATCATAACTATGGGTTAAATAACCCAAATTAAACCCAAAGTTTAATCCAAGAATTACCCCATGGTTTGTTTTTGAGTAAAATTTTTGTATGATCCTGCTATATTCTGGAAGGCAACTTGCGGCTTAAACAACCTATGAACTGCCATTGCATGAAATCTGGTTCTATGTGAAAGTTACAGAGAGCTGGACAATTAGTTCTTGCAGAATCAGAGCAAGAGCAGTTGCAGTTTCCCACAGTGGCCAACCTGATGCCTCTGGGAAATCTCCAGCAGGATATGTTGTGAGCCGCCCCGAGGCTTCGGCGAATGGGGTGGCATAGAAATGTTTTAAATAAATAAAAATAATAAATAAATATGAGTGCAGCAACATATACAAGGGATGCTCCGGATTGGTGTGACCCAGTCATCTGGTCAATGAATTTTAAAACTGATAGGAACTTTCAAATGCAGCTTACAAGGTAAGAGAATTTGGGGTTTAGTTTTAGAGAAAAGGTTTTAAGAAGTCCTACTAGGTATAACCAGACTCCTGGGCATGCAGACAGTAAGTAATTTGGACCCCACCCAGAATCACAACTTATTAAGACAAGGGGAGAAGATCCTCTGTCAGCTGATTCCTACAGCATGTGTCAAATAAATTAACTAGCTCAGTAAGTCTAACATTTGGTCTATTTGTTCAATGGCAGATTTTGAATCTTCTTCATCAAACATCTGCTACACAGCTGCAATTTTTAAACAAACATTTATGCTGGCATAAAAATCTGTAACATATGAACAAGCATATACAATTTTAGCTTACACTTGGGACAATTTTAAGTACTACATTTGGCATGCTTTTTTCTTTTCTCTCTTCTTTAAAAAATGGGGTCAAACAAATCAGTAGCATAAAATTGTCTTCCAAGAAGACAATTGAATCCAACATTACCATTACCAATTACCAGTCTCAGGGCAGTTATTCCTAATTTCTTACAGTTGTGGATAATTAATATCAATACATAATCCTTGAAATAGAAACTTCCTTCCATTAGATTTTGTTCTCCCAATTATTTAACCTACTTCACTGTATAATTATGATTTTGACAATTGCTAGCCGAATTACTGGTAGGAATCAAGCAGTTTTCACTCATCAAAGGCACATTATCTGAGCATAATAAACAAGATTACAATTCAGCACACATTCTATAAACACTTGAGTACTACTGAAATCAGTGCGGGAACATAATCCATGACTCTAGACAAGATTTCAGTAAATATATTGTTCCAAACCTGTCAATTTCCAATTACTTAGTGCACAGTCTTTTACTATAAAATTTCAACAAAGCAAAACCATAAAGGGGTAAAGAAAAACATATGCAATAAAATAACTTAAAAATAGTTTGCATTCTCTTTGGGTTGGATCCCTATGTAGTCACACTTAACAGCAGACACACTGACATTAATGCAAATTGGATTAGTCATGACTTAATTCTCATTGTTTCCATTGGGTTTACTCTTGAGGATGACTGAGTACAGATTCAGCCCTTAATTTCTGGGTGTCTGAAAGCCTATTCAGAATGACACTTGTGTCAAGGTCACTTGAACATCAGCCAAAGACCAATTGCAAGGTCGAGATTGCCGTAGATTGTGCCATACTTCATTTTAATTAAATTGCCAACATGTAAGAACCGGCCCTCAAACTCTCCTTACATGAGTATGGATACTATCAAAATCTCCATGGCTTGGGTCAAGTGATTTTCTGCAGTAGATTAGGCTTACGCTGAAAATCTCAGATATAGGGCCAGCATGTATTCCACTTTACAGAGCGAAGTCCTCTTACTGAAGATACTCTTATTATTATTATTACATCCTCTACTGAAAGGCTTTCCAGTTCCAGTCTGATTTAACGATTAAGAACCATTGTGCGAAGGGAAAGCAGAGAAGAGCCTGAAGCTGTCCGTTGGGCATTAGCACCTGGGCAGCACACCAAGTGGGTCTCATAGCTCAGCTGGTCCCAGCCTTCTCCACTGTATTGTATTTCTATTCTATTTGAAATGCAGGGTTTATACATTTATGCAAATCTGGGCCCTATTTCATCTTCATTTCTGGTGATTCATTTCTTCTCTTTTAGTGATATTGTCTGTGAGCAGTCACCAACTTTAACATTAGTCACTGTGCTAACTTCAGGTGCAGGCTTATGAATCCAATAGAAAAAGAGCAGTCTGGAGCGCAAAGTTTGTTTCTTGAGCTGGAACAGAAAGTAAACCACATTTCTGAACCGAGAAATCACCTGCCTTGTTAGCTTGTTTAGCACCCAATCAGTTGGTACAGAAAGTGGTTACTTCTCAGTTGCTGTTTGAGGCAGCCAAGACATGAGAGTCAAACTGTATCACTGGAAAGCATTTCAGAAATTTTATTACCCTACTAATGAGTTCGGGTACAACTGACACATGAATGCAAGTCTGCAAAATGTCTCCATGGCAGGCTTGCCCAGGCCTTGCATCCCAGGAAACACCCAGGGTTCTGTCATGTGCTAGACAGTCCTGTCACCAGACCGAAGGGTGGCGGGAGGGAAGGAGTTAGAGGGGCTTTCTGGGAATACTTTCCTGTACGTGTGTTGACAGAAGGGCATCGTGTCTTCAGGGAAAACCCCTTGAAACTGTCCCCATGAGCACATTCTGAGCTGGCTGAAGCCATATTGAGGCAGTTCTTTGGAATTCCTATTAAACAGTCTGGCACACACAGTGAATAATCTGCTCACAATCCTGGAGCATGTGTGATGTTTGAAATCGTTTCAAGGGCAGCTGCTTTCTTCCCTGACTTTGTCCACATACAAGAACCTCATGACCTTTTTGTCCCCTTTCCACAAGGAAGACCCCTGTAGGAACCCCCAGATACACAGACAGTGGCATGCCCTTACCTTTGGTGGTTTAAATGGATAATCAGATGAAAATGTGATATCCAGGAAAAAGACGCCACCTTCGTATACAGAACCTGGGGGACCAAGGATAGTAGATCTCCATTCATAAATGTTATCACCTTTAGGCCCAGCGCTATTGAGATAAGAGAGAGGGAGAGGGGAGACAGAAAGTGAACCAGAGGCTTGAGAACATTTGCATTCATTACTCATCTCTTTGGTTGTTGTGAGTGGCATCTGTTGCTGATATATATGGCTTGCTGCTTTTGTATATACTTGTTAGGAACGCAGAAACTGCATATCAACGGTGCTTCTGTCAATGTTTGCTGCACAAGACCCATCTTTGTCTTTTGTTAATATTTAGCTGTGTAGCCTTTTGTCTGTCGCTCTTTCCGGAGCAGAGCGTGGGGCAGACCCGAAAGTGGGGGTGGGGATAAAACACAAGGGCTGCAATCCAAGGCAGAGTTAAGCATGCTTAAGGCTGCTCATCCCCCCTCGCGCTCTGTATCCCGGCCTTCCTTTAAGCAGCTCATGGAAGCGTGTGTGGGATTATCCGAATTTATCTTCACAAGCCCGTGCAATAGGTTAGCCTAACGGAGTGGGACCTGCCTAAGGTGGGCAGCAACCTCCAACGAGCAGTGGGGGATGCGGTCCAAGTCTCCTCCATGTCACTCCAGTGCTCCACGGCTGAACCCTGATGGCCAGAGCCCTCGGACCGAGCCCTACTGAACACAGTGCAGCTTCTATCCAAGCAGAGCTGCCCAAAGCGTGTTGCAGCACGATGCCTAGAGAGAGAGTAATGGGGGGGCAGTGGAGACAACGCTTTCAGATGCTTGTGAAGCAAACAGCCAAACCCCTGTGAATGGCTCTGGACTGCAAAATTAATGTACTAAGGTCACAAATGGAGCCATTTCCCCACAAAAACATTTATTTCTGGATACTACACTGCCCCTGTGGCGCGGCTAACAATCAATTCCAAGGGGTTTTCTAGATTCCTAACATGCTTCCTGAAAGCCCCCAGCATTGTTCACTTGCTTCCTGAAAAACCTTCCTGACCTTCAGAACGAAGATGTGAAAGAATCGTGTTCTGATACCGCCATTCGGCAGAATATCACATTATCAGACAGTGCAAGCCCCGAGATGATTTATGGGATTTCAAACATATAGATCCACAGGCTATTTAAGTATATAGTTGGTCATTTTGATAAATCTGAACTGTTGTTCAAGGATACCTCCGATGCTTATTTTAAGGATGAATTTTCACCATATTGCAACAAAACAGCAGGGATGATACCACTGTAAAACTAAACCCAGATTCCCTTGAAAGGCCTATTTTGACAGAAAGATGGCTCCTTTATAAAGGACTGTAAAGATACCAAAAAAGCAATAAATATTCTTTTAGGTTAACACTGTAAGAACATCTATATTTCTATACCTTCAAGAGGGCAGAAAGTCATTTTTCTTTCCTTTTACATTTCTATTCAAAAAGAATATGTTATTCCACCTGCATTCCATCTTTTTTTAATTAAGGCATTTAGAAGGATTTTACATGAAATGTTAAAATCACAATGTTATATGGAAAAGACAGTCCTACAGCTCCCTCCTGTTGAGATTTTTTAATTGCTGTTGTTAAAACTTGAATTCCATAAAATAATAACCGCAATTATCATAAGTTTCTCACTTTCTGGAGGAATTTAGGAAAACTACGCTGACTGTGATGGAGACAGTATGATCTGAAATGGCAACCCCAAGAGGAACAGTAGTACTTCCCAGGGTGGGGCAAGACGCACATGCTCCACCTGAAGCCACAGTTTCTTGGCTTTGCTGGCCACCCTCTCCTCTTAGCCTCTCTCAGTGAGGAAAGGATGAGAGTCTTCCAAAGCACACCGCTCTAAACTTACAGGCCAGGTACACCTTCCCCTGGGTCTCTTTGTGGACTGTAGCAGTATTAAGGTGACAAACCGAACAGATCGTCAATGGGGGTGGGGGTCTTCTTTAATCTGTGTTCCATTCACAACAGGCATGTTGCAAGAATTAAGGGCTGAGAAGAAACAACAGGCCACAAGGACTGAGTAATTCATGGGGACCTCAATTCTCCTATCCACATTTGCCAAAAAAGTAGGAATTATTATTTTTAAAAGAAATAATACAAGAAGCTGGGGCAAAGTAGAAAATGTTGAATGCCCAAGTGGAGGGTACTGGGTTTCCTAATTAACTCTTGACATCCATTAAGCACATATCACTTAATTAGCATTAGGCTAGAAAGTCAAATTCTCTGGAACAATTCAATTTTGGCACAGGTTTCCTTAATGGCTATTTTATAGCTTAATGCAGAGGTTAGCACTCCTATATCATCTGTCAGCTACCCTTCTTTCACACACCTCTAATAGCTGGATACAATTCAATCAGTTTAATGAAACAGTTGAATTGACTTAGCAACATATTTCAGCCAAATTAATCAGTCACAATTAAGGTTACAGCCTCTAGCCGTGTGCCAAACTACCTGGTAATCACTCAGAGAGTCAGAACAAGGGCATCTATCAATTAAATGGTCAAACATCTAAGAGCAATAATTCCTAAGTTACTATTTACAATCATCTGCTGCATTCCCATTAGTGCCACTTGAAATGGTGAGGGTTGCTCATAGAAGGGGGCAAGTCCACCGTAAAATTTCAGATGCACTGACCCTGTCAATGTAGAAGGTATTTTGCAGAAACCTGCTATGCCTGCCTCCTAGCAGACCTCAGGCTGGAACCATTCATCTCCCTCCCGGCCACCCCTGCATTGTTAACTTTGTAGCAGCGGAATCAGGTGGAACTGAGCCCCACAATGGGATGGCCCCTCATGCCTTAAACCAGGGGTTCTCAAACTACGGCCCGTGGGCTGGATCTGGCCCGCCATAGCTCACCACACATGCGCTTGGTTAGGTGTTGGCTTGCTCGCAAGGAGATAGTTTTGGACTCATTGGGAGAAAATGATTTCTGTGCATGCATGCCCCTGCCTTTCTGTGCACACATGCGCCCCCCCCCACTGTACCGCCTTGGTGGCCCACGCCCATTGCTGGCACCTTTCAACTGGCCCCTATTCAAAAAGTTTGAGTACCCCTGCCTTAAACAGAAATGTTTCTTGTTTTGTTTTCAAGCTGTGCTCCTGAGAACCCTCCCTCCCTCCCTCCCTCCATTCATTGTCTATCCTGCCCATTAGCCAGGATGATTCTCTGGGAAGGCTACAAAATATATAATACAATAGCAACAACATATACAGTAATATTAAATTGGGCATCCATACTACAACAATAAAATAACAACAATAAAAACTACAGAAAAACCACACCACAAAAACACACAATAACCTCATTTAAACCAAAGGCAAAGGCACAGTAACACTAAAATACCATAAATACCATAAAATCTCTTTAAATTACCCAATATTTTAAATAGCTAAAGTAAATAAATAGGTGTTTGTCTAGTGCCGAAAGGAGTAAGAAAAGGCACTGGGTGAACCTCTTTGGGAAGCTGGTTCCAAAGTGAGGATTCCACTACAGAAAAGGCTCTTCGGAGTGGGCCCTCTGAGAAGGACTTCAGAGGATGTTCTTAACGTCTGGGTAGGCATGTATGTGAAGAGGGTTCCTTTAGATAACCTGACTCCAAGTTTCTGGACTGTTTTCAAAGGCAGCCTCAAGTAGAGAGTGTTACAATAATCCAGATGAGAGGTTACCAGAGCATGAATTACTGTAGCTAGGTTCTGCCTGTCCAGAAAGAGTCATAATTGGTAAATCAGCTTAAGCTGATAAAAAGTGCTCCAGGCTGCCAAATCCATCTGAAATTCCAACAATAATTCAGGGTCCAGGAGCATCCCTACACTACAAACATTGTCCTTTGGGAGGAGTCCAACCCCATCCAGCACTGGTGTAACATCAGCCACCTGGACAGAAGATCCCCCCACCAACAGTACCTCCACCTTATCTGGATCAAGTTTCAGTTTATTGGCCCTCATCCAATCTATTATCAAGCCAGACCTCAATTCAAAACAGCTACTGCCTCACCTGGGAGGGATGAAAAGGTACATCTCAGTCCATACCTCTGGAGAACCTGTCCCAGAGGTTTCATGTAGAGGTTTCATGGCATAAATGCCATGGTGCGGGCAATAATCATCCAGCACCATCTTCTGGAGTTGGCTGGACAAGTACAAGTGGAACCAATGCAGAGCAGTGCCTCCAACTCTCAGCTCAACCAGCCTATCCGGGATACGATGGTTGATCATATGGGAAGCTGCTGAGAGGTCCAGAAGAACCAACAGGGATGTACTCCTCTGTCTCTCTCCTGGCAAAGGTCATCCTGCAGGGCGACCAAGGCAGTCTCTGTTACAAACCAAGGCCTGAAGCCCAACTGAAATAGATGAAGATGGTCTCTTACATCCAAGAATGCCTGGAGTTGTTCAGCCACCACCGGCTCAAAACCTTGCCCAAAAAGGGGTTGCTGGCCACCGGCCTACAGTTGTTAACATCTTCTGGGTACAAATGGGACTTTTTCAGGAGTGGTCTGATTACAGCCTCTTTTAATGAGGCTGGAACCACTCCTCTCAGCAAGGCATTCACAGCCTCCCAGACCCAGATGCCTAACCCTTTTGAGTAATATGCCAAGATGGGCAAGGGTCGCGCATACAGATGGCAGGTTGAACTAAACCAAGCACTTTGTTCACATCCTCAGGCCTTAACAACCAAAACTCATCTAACAAACTAGGACAGGATGGTGCTCCGGATGTGGAGTCCAATTCGTGATGAATCCGAGAAACTTTGCCCTCAAAGTGCCGTGCAAATTCACCATCTCTTTCCCTGGCCCAGTTTGTAAATCATTTGGAATAGCTCCACTGGGTGGCACTGAGAGGACACAATGCTAGCAAAAAAGAGTGACCTCTTTGCTGCCCCCACCATCACGGAAGAGGCTTGGAAAAGAGCTCTGCGTCGTGTCCTTCAGAATGGAGGACAAGCTTCCTTGGGATGACCTATCCTCCTCTGCAATACCCTGCCGTAGGCCACTGTTAGCCATGTTCTAGGGGACATTCTCAGCTTACACTGAGCAACAGAGAGGTCTAGTGAGTGCTTTGTGTGCACTGACGAGGGTATCCCAGAAACCT